TTGACACTACTAATTATTAACTGTTAACTTTGGAAAAAATACCCAATAGAAAAATACGTAATCGCAAATTTTCATGGCTAGCTTTGTTTCTAAATGAAATTTTTTGAAATTATCGTTTGCTGTAAGATGTTTCGCATTCGAACGCATACCCCCGCTAAACTGTACCCGTACCCTTGAGGGTACGCGTACCACACTTTGGGAAACACTGGATTAAACTAACAATAATTAAAATAACAGCAAAGTAAGTCTGTCAAATTAGCAACGCTTACATTTAAGCTACCGTTTTTTATTTATTTTCATCCTGGTTCTGATTTTGTATGAATGCTTTTGTGAATCACTCGTCCCCAAGGGGTTAATGTTTACCATTAACCTATACAATTTATTAAATTGAAATGAATGATGGTTATTCCTGTCTAGATTTTGTTAGAGGAACTTGAGTATTTGTTTGGAGTAAGTATATTTTAATTTTAATTTTTGGAGTGATGTATTTCGACATAATTAAATAAGAATAAATTAAAGTATCATCAGATTCCTTTCTTTAATTGTGATTTATAGCTTTTATTTCACAAAATTTACAATAAAACCATAATTAAAATAATTGAAACAGTTACAGTCAAGGCTAATAAATAATGCCTTTTTAATTACTATTGCCTTGAACTTTTAAACAATGAAGCTTCTTGAAGCAGTTGAGTGAATTTCAATGAACATGTAATTTACCTGTAATAATAGATCTTATAATCATAATTATAAATCATCCACATTTAATTGCCTTTGTAACTTTAGAAAAACATTTACTAACATTGTTATCTTAAGTTGGTAAAATTACAGAGTTTCCTCCTACTATATTTTTAAAAGATAACGAAAGTGAATAAAAATAATCTTTATTGAAATGAAATTGTTTTTCTTTCTTTAAATTTTATTTTATTATATTTTATTTGACATTCAGATGACTTTAAAGGCACAGCAATATATTTGAGTTTATTATGGTTTTTGAAAATTTACCCTTTAATGGACCCTTTATTTCTAGTAAAAGTAAATTAAAGTATTTTTGGAATTGAAATTGTTTTAAGAACAGTAATTGAAATTTAAAAAAAACTCATTTAGTTTATAAAAATGACATTTTTTTGGTGGTAAATATATTTAACATGACCTATTAGGAACTTACTGACTTTTATTTATCTTCATTTATAAAATAAATTCCTTAAATACTACAAACTTCGAAAGGAATTAAGTATTTTACAACTTTTATACGTTTTTTAAAAGTGACAAATGGTTACCAATTTTATTCAAACTCACTTCAAGAAAGCTGAAGTTATTGAAAAATGGAAACCTAAATTAAAAGTGGTAAAACGTGGTGGTAAGTGTACTTACCACGGCCTTCAAAAAGGTTAATTAATCAAAATGATTTTTATAAAATTAGTTATCTAGGCAAATTTTCTAAACAATTAATAGAAATGATTTTTATGAAATTAGTTATCCAAATTACCTTTGAAACTGTTTATCAAAATGATTTTATGCAATTAATTATCAAAACGAATATCTAAAAATTAATCAAAATGTTTTTTTATGTATTTAGTTATTAAAACAGCTGTATTAAAATATAAATAATTATTTTTTTAAATCAGTTTTCCAAGCAACTTTATTAAAAAATAATCAAAAAAATTAGTTACTAAATTAGTTTTTTTAATTAGTTTTTCAAAAAAATTAGCTTTTTAAAAAAAATTAGCTTTTTTAAAAAAAAAAAAAATTAGTTATTACAACAACTTAACAAAAATGCGCTGTTAACTATGAAAATACAAGTTAGCTCAAAATAATCGTGCTCGTTTCATCTTTGAAAAAAATTATATACGTTCATGATAAATCTCACTGTGGATTGCTCTTCAGACGTAATTTCTACTAAATCACACAACTCAAGTATCACTGGCAGCTATTAGTGAGTGATCACTTTGATCAGCCAGCGTAGGAGCCCATCTTCTCTGCAGAAGATCAAAATTATGATGGCATGGTTTCCCGATCATCCCGAGGGATGTTTCCTAGACAATAGCTGATTGCATAGCTCTAGTACAACTTGAAATGTGCGCAAAAAAACGCACCACCCTGAATAACTTTTGATATAATAAACGGATCTTCACGTTCTAGGTCTTAATCTTATTGGTTTGAGGGGGTGACCTCAAATATGTTAATTAATTAGTACAGACGACGTTTTAAGTTATGGAATCAGACACAAAAACGTACTTTCTCTGAATAAACATATCTTTATTTCGACGGATTCCGATTTTTGACTCACAAACTATAGGGGGTGACCACAATTTGGGAAATATGGTTCCAATAGTTTGGTCAGGAGAGCACTCGTAAGTTTGGAACCCTTAAAGTTAATTTTACTCTTTGCGCATTTCGTTATATCTCGAGAACTTTCCGAGGGGAATGAAAAATGCTTGCACACAATTATAAAAATCGTTTATCCGAAGATAACTCCATTAAAAAAAATTTTAGAAATTATTTATGATTTTTTATTATTTTATTTAATTTTGATCGATAAAATGTTGAATTGTAAGGTTTAAAAATTTTAGCTTCATTTTAACGATCATAATTTTAATGGAAAAATAAAAAATTAGAGCAAAATCAGTCGAATAGTTCCTGAGAAATCGAATTTTAAGTATCTGACTTTTTTGAAATTCAATTTCTCAAGACCTGTTCAACCGATTGTGCTGAAATTTTGATTTTTTGCCATTTAAAATTATATTCCTTGAAATGAGGCAAAAATTTGTGTACCCTACAATACAAGTTTGTCTCGACCATATATAAATACAATATTTAAAAATAATAAATATTTACTAAAAAATATTTTTTGCATGGAATTATCTTTGAATAAACGAATTTTTCAATTGTGTGCAAAAGGTTTTCAATTCGCTTCAAAAGCTTGCGAGGTAAGGCGAAATGCGTAAAAAGTAAAATTAACATTTAGGGGTCCAAACTTTGAACCCCTCTCCTGACCGAACTATCGGGACCATATTTCCCAGATTGCGGCTACCCCCTACATTTTGGGAGTCAAAAATCCAAATCCGGAGATAATAAGATATCCGTAGAAAATAAGATATGTTTATTCAGAGAAGGTACGCTTATGTGTCTGATTTCGTAACTTAAAATGTTGTCAACACTAATTATTTAGCATATTTGAGGTCACTTTTAAACCATTAAAAATGAGTCCTAGAACATGAAGATCCGGTCATTACATCAAAAGTTACTCAGGGTGTTCTGCTTATTTTTGCGCACTGTACATAACTACTGCTACTATGGTTTATGATGATATTTATTTATTTTAAACATTTAATGCATCCACACACCTTCAAATGAGCTGCGATTGATAAATTTTTTCTTCCTTTGTATTTTTATTGCACTTTCAGGGAGGCATGGTATCTTTATTAGTTTATCTTCTTATAATCTAAAGGATAGAAAGATTATCTTTACTTCCCAGAGTTTTAATTCTGTCTGAACTACTATTCGATCCTTTCTTGCCTTTTCGCTATTATCTGTTCCTTTTTTTTATCAATTACAATAACTTACTCCAATTTATAAAAAACTATTTTCTATTGGTAACGAAATTCAAATTATTTTTAGTTTAGTATTTTTCCTTTTAAGTAATTATCCCATCTCAACGTATCAAAAATTAAAAGTAAATGTCATAAAATGCAATTTTGTTGCAGTTGTCTTCGTGGTGACACTTCTAAAGAGTGGGCGTAATTATCCTTATTCTGCAAGTTTTACTACTTAATTCTGTACCAATTTATTAAAACTGTTTGTTATTAAAATATATATATATNATATATATATAATAAAAAAAACCATTTTCACATTTCAAAAAATTGGTGAGCAAATTGTAATAGTTGGAAAAATTCGAGATTTTTGGAGGGAAAAAAAACATAAATAATTTGCAATGAACTAGGTAGGAAACATTTTTAGAGTGGCATTATTGATTTATAATTATTATTTGCCTTATTTTATTTACCACTAACTTGAAATAAAAATCATGCAAGCATACTCAAAACTAGTGTGGATTAGTTATGTTTAAAGTAAAGGGAAAGCAAAACAATTCTCTTGCATTAACCCTTTAATGGGCTATTTAATTCTACTAAAGGTATATTAAAGTATTTTTGGAATTGAAATTGATATAAGAATAGTAATTGATATAAGAAAAAAAACTCATTTAGTTTATAAAAAAAATCTACATTTTAATGCCATTTTTTTAGTTGTAAGTATATTTTCCATGGCCTATTAGGAGCTTATTGACTTTTATTTTTCGTTATTTATAAAATAAATTTTTTAAATGCTACAAACTTATACTTTTATACGTTTTCTTAAACTAATAATTTAATTCAAACGCACTTCAAGAAAGCTGAAGTTATTAACAAATGGAAACCTAAATTAAATGTGGTAAAATGCTTACTATGGGTTTTTAAAAATTGGTGGTAAATATATTTACCTCGGCCTTCGAAAGGGTTAAACATACCCATATGGAGACCGGTTATTTCGCTTTAAAATGTCAGTTACCTGCTTTATCAACAATGCTCCTTCATTGATACATATCAACGAACTCTGAAAGATAATGAAATAAAATTTTTAACCAGTTCAAAAAATTCTGATTGATAATAATGATATCAAAACACAAAATATTAAAATAATGAGAATTATTTCAAGAGGTCGATAAACGTTCCAAGAAGCTAACCATGCAAGATGTTATTATAATTTTCATAACATTTTCACGTCTCATAACTTTCACGCTAACAAAACTGTTATTTAATAGCAGAGAAATCAGAATAATATTTTAATGTATCTATAAACATCTTCACCCATCCGTGCATTCTTTGAAATTTATTATTGAATTTACCTACTTATTTCATATGCTGCTAATCGAGAAGAGGTTAAATTTAAATAAAATTCCAGATATTTTTTCTTAGCACTCATTAAGTTCGTAATCAGCATAAGATTGCTTTTTTCTGTAGGCTGACTTCATGTAGGTGGTTTGAGATGTCAGATGAACTAATGTGTTAGCTGTATCAACGTGCGTGTGTTTATAGTATCTACGACTAACACATCTTTTCGTGGTTTGACCTTCGAAGTATAAGAAAAAAAGTCGCGGTTTGAAGTTACACCTGTATGCAGGTAATTTCCTGTTTTGTCCCATCTTCCTGCTTTAATCCCACTTGAGCTAACAGGTTGTGTGATTCCAGAATTGGTTGCGCTAATTTAGATGCAAACTGGGTTTTATGTATGTAAACTATGGGAGTTAACAAAGTTTGTCATTTTGGATTTATATTGTTTGAGAATTGGTTGCGGGCTCTTTGAGGTACTTTTTTTAAATGTCAAATATTTGTGCTGGTTGATGTGAAACTGCGTAATTACTTTTTGGATAGTGAATTCCGTAAGTTACAATTTTTGTTTTAATATTTTAGACATAAGAATAATAGATAGATAAAAGATGTATATAAAATATAGATATAAATAAAATATAGAAAAGATATAAATTAAAGATATAAATAAGATATAAATAAGATAAAAATAAGATATAAAGTACATTAGTTATGTATATAGGAAAGATAGATTTCAGATAAAATGATAGATATAAGAATATAGAATGCTTTAATCGCTATTTCCCAATTTTTTTTTCTCGATTATATTTTATGTAAATTTTGTAGTGTATTTTATTAGATGCCCACTGGTTTTATGTATGTAAACTATGGGAGTTAGCAAAATTTGTCATTCTGAATTTATAATATTTGAGAATTGGTTGCTGAATCTTTGAGGTGCTTTTACTAAATGTCAAATATTTGTGCTGGTTGATGTGAAACTGCGTAATAACTTGTTGGACAGTGAATTCTGTAAGTTACAATTTTTGTTTTAATTTTTTAGACATAAGAATGATAGATAGATAAAAGATGGATATAAGATATAAATATAATAAGCTATAGAAAAGATATAAAGTATAGATATAAATAAGATGAAGATAAGATATAAATATAAATAAGCTATAGAAAAGATATAAAGTATAGATATAAATAAGATGAAGATAAGATATAAAGTAAATAAGATATAGATATAAGAAAGATAGATTTAAGATTAAATGATAGATATAAGAATATAGAACGTTTTTAAGTGTTATTTCCGAATTTTCTTCTCGATTTCAATTTATATAAATTTCGTAGTGTTTTTTATTAGATTCAAACTGGTTTTATGTATGTAAACTATGGAGGTTAGCAAAATTTGTCATTTTGGATTCATATTATTTGAGAATTATTTGTGGGCTCTTTGAGGTGCTTTTTTTTAAATGTTAAATATTTGTGCTGGTTGATGTAAGACAGCGTAATTATGTTTTGGATTGAGAATTCTGTGAATTACAATTTTTGTTCTTATTTCTTAGACATAAGAATGATGGATACATATAAGAAAGATGTAAGTTTAGATATAAATAAAATATAGATATAAATAAGATATAAATATAATATAGATATAAGAATGATATATTTTAGATACAATGTTAGATATATAGAATGTTTTTAAGTGTTATTTAACAATTTTGTTCTTGATTATATTTTATGTAAATTTTGTAGAGTTATTTATTGGATGCAAACTGTTTTATGCATGTAAACTATCGGAGTTAACAAAACTTTTCATTTTTGGATTTATGTTACTTGAGAATTGGTCAAGAGCTTTTTGAGGTGCTTTATTTAATTGTCAAATATTTGTGCTGGTTGATGTAAAACTGCTTAATAACTTTTTGGATAGTGAATTCTGTGAGTTCCATTCCGTGTTTTTATTTTTTAGTCATACGAATGATAGATAAAAGATAGATGGATGTAAAGTATAGATATGAATGAGATATAGATAAGATATTTATAAGAGATAGATTTAAAAATTATAGATTTATGCAAACTGGTTTTTATGTAAACTATCGGAGTTAATAGGACTTTCCATTCTGGATTTATATTACTTGAGAATTGGTCTCGGACTTTTTGAGAGACTTCTTTCAAATGCCGAATATTTGTTCTGGTTGATGTAAGATAGCGTAATATCTTTTTGGATAGGGAATTCCGTAAATTACAATTTTTGTTTTTGTTTTTTTAAATATATTTAAGTGCTATTTCCCAATTTTCCTCTCTATTAAATTTAATATAAACTTTGTTATTTTTTTTTATTCGATGAAAACTTTGTTTAATGCTTGTAAACTATCGGAATTAACAGAACTAGTCATTTTGGACTTAATTATTTGAGAATTGGTCATCAGGCTCATTGAAATGTTTTTTTTTTTAATATCAAATATTTGTGCTGGTTGAAGTAAGGCTTTATATGTTTAAGCAAAAAAAATTTTTATAGTTTTTTTATTAACTTCAAGATGCAAAACTTGATTAGGATTAGAATTCAAGATTATGATTGCTTCTAGGGTTCAATAGCTTCCAACTTTTACTCTCTGCAAGGAATACTTTTTTATTGCTTGTAAAAGGACAATTTTATTAACTATTATAATGTTTATAAATTTTTTGCTAGTATTTTTTAAAAAAAATTAATAAACAAAAATAAATTAATGTCTTTAACATTTTAAGTGCTCTTTTATTATTTGCTTCAAAAAAGAAATTCTGCTTTGTTTTTCATTAATAAATTAGTAGCCCAGATGCAAATACCCGATGAAGTATTTTATTTTCTATGATGAATTTCTGCGATTTTTTTGTATAATTTATTGGTTTTTGATTTTTCTTTATAGATTTTTAATTTTTCTTACGTTTCAGACTTCCAATTACTGATTATTCTTCTATTAGCATTAATTTATTATATTTATAACTAGTTTTATCGAACCAGATCGAATAAAATAGGGTTTTAGCAAACTTCCAAAAAATGATAAATTAACCCTCCAAAATATAATTTTATTTAATATCCAATAATTTTTATTTTTGGAACTAAGGAATTAAATTTTCAGATTTGAATGAAAATTTAGACAATTTTGTGCATGGAAAATAAAAGAAGGAAAGAAAAAAAAAACCTCAAGAGGCCTCTACCCTTGCCATCTTGGGTTTTAGGTTAAACTTTTGATTTGCGTTTTCTTGTTACTTTTTGTACAAATTTATAATATAGTATTATTATTCGGCAAAATAATGCGTTAAAAAAGTAGAAAATAAAAGAGTCGTTTTACTGGATTCGGAGAAATAGCACTTGATAATTTTTAGATTGATAATCTTTCCTCAAAATTTTTAAGCAGGAAAATGATGCGATTTATGATTTTGTTTTCGTATTTTAAAACCATGCATTTTTCAGTTTTTAGATTTATTAAAATTTTCTTTTATACAGTTTAAACTGATGAAACTGATTTTGGTTAGTCTTTTAGCGTTAATTGCATAAAAAATATGCTCATCAAAATCTTAGATATGGCATCTGGCAAAAACAGTTGATTGCTGAATTGATAAACTTTTTGTTAGAAAAAAATTTATGGAAATTTTAAAAAGCTGCATACTTTGGATATTAAATTGTGATTGGGTGACGGATTTGTAATTTACATGTATCAAAAGATAATGCCAAGTAGAATATTTCGAATTCACCTCCCCGTTTCCACCCTTTCGACAGTTGTGTTCAATTTTGACCTTTCAAATGGACATCTGTGATACGAGTAATTTTGTAGGCGATAAACCGTTTCCAGTCGAACGGTGATAGCAGTCACCACTGTCGCTTGCAAATTACCCACCACTCTAATTGTGATTTTTGTTTTTCATCTTAATGTTTAGTTACCACTTCATTCAGTGATTTCCGGGAATTATAAGGTAAGTTTGAAAAAAACATTTCAAAATGTTAGTGGTTGCGTCCATTTCTTTAACTGTTGAAAGGACTTCAAGTGCAAAAGGTTAATAAAATGTTATTTTTTAAATTTTTTTTTAATTAAAGTTATAAAGATATTATGACAGTGAAATTGGTTTACTACAGGTATTGCAATTTTATTGATAGTAATCAAATGGAAATTATTATTATATTAATGGTCATCATGCTGTTTAAACTGTATTTATGGGAGAAGGGTTAGTATTTATTTTATTTATTTTCTCCAGGTAAGTTAATACTTCTCTTACATAAGTTCAGCTGTAATTTGGATTAAAGGTAAGATATTCTTCTCTGATTACTGTACTAATGAATTTTTTTTTTTAAGGAAAAAGTGAAATATATGGGTATTGTTCGGAAACATTGAACTAAGAAATAATGTGAATTCATAAAAAGAATAAATTTGATACAAAATACCTGTACAAGTTCTTATAATTGTTAAAAGCAAAACGGAGATGGCAACAAGTTTAAATTATTGCTAATAAGTACCACATCAGTTCTTTTAGTTTTGGGCAAAATGAAGTTTTAGTTTGCATCATGTAGTTAATAAGTATTGCGATAAATTTATCTAAGTTTCTAACCATTTATTAATATTTTTATTGCTTTCTTTTTTATTTTTTTACATGAAAACAGTCATAAAAATTACCCAGTTGAGTCTAAAAGGGGAAAAATGGGAGCAAATTGCTTTATTTTTGATTTGAAAATTATATCAAAGCACGCAAAATATTTTAGCTATTTGCAGAAGATTTTTCCCATTGATAGTAAGAATAAACTTTTAGTTTCATCATACCATAGTTTAAGAATTCTTCTTCCTTTCTTTTTTTTTTTTTTTTTTTTTACAAAAGGATAAAAACTGATTTTTCTCATAAGGCGCCGATATTCACAGTTATGGAAACATGCTCTTTTTTCAAAAGGTTAAAATTTTTAACTTAATCAGTTCATTTTTAACATTTATTTTGAAAATTTAAGACGGTTGCGCCCACCTTTCTATATTTTCTTAAATTTGTTTCGAAAAATTGCGAAATATACCGTATTTATTGTAAATATAACTATCTTTACATCTGTAGGTATATATATATATATATATATATATATATATATATATACNTTGAAAAAAAGTATGTAGCGTTCATTTAAATATAAGTATCTTTATATCGGGAGTTATATATATATCATATATACCTATCGTAGTATAATTCTATTAATTTTTTCCAACAAAATTTGATCAATACAGATCTGCAATCAACAGATTGTGAAAGGTTATTAAACAGTATATAGCTTCCAGTTTTTAGAATTTTGATAAGTATTTT